TTCAATTATTCACAACAGTTGCAGTTTCTTTTGTATATTCTTTATTTCGAAATTATTATATGTTACCTACTTAGCTACATTATTTGTCTTTTATATAATTAATGATAATATTAGGGCTGCCACCCAATGTTTTTAAATAAAGAGTTGGTTGTTTTTTCCCCAAATGATCAATTTTATTGCTAATAGGGATTAAGTGATCCGGATTTCTATCCTCGGGCTGTCCAAGGTCGACTCGGCCTTTCATCCCTTCAGTTAGTTATTAAATTAGTATCAAGCTTGCTCTGGGACTAAGCGCTGAAGGTTTCGCTTGAGACTAACTATCTGATCGAAGCATCTGTTCAGACACCTCAGAGCCCAAAAGTTACGCATACTGAAAGGGACAAAATAGGCCTTGGCCCTAATGGGCTGTTGAGCCACTGAGTTTAATTTAGTTTAAGGAATGAGTGTTTATGAACGTCTCTTACTATCAAACAACACAAGGATATTGGCGAAGGAAGTCAAAATTATGAAACTCAGTAAAGAGACGAGGAAGACACCTGAGTTTGTACCCCTAAGTACCAAACCAAGGGAATCAAGACAAATTTTGTGGGCACACGATGAGTCTTAAGCGGTACTAGGTTCGAACTCATGACATTCCGATCTCGAGCCAGTGACGATGACCACCAGGCTACCACGGCTTTTTTATAGCTCCAAACCGTTGCATGCGACTTCAGTTTACAGCTGGAGCTTCCAGTTTTTTTCTGATCTATTCTTTTGATTCTTTTATATATTCGTTCTGACAAAAAGATTTATTTCTCTAGTTTTCCCTAGCTTAAGGGTTAATTACTTGGAGGTAATCTTAAACAATTTTTTCCACCATGCTATGACTTTTAGCATGGAAAGTCAGGTAACTTCTTTTAAATATAAGTTTTTCTATACAATTTTATGTTTTTAAGCTTCCATCGAAATTTCTTCAGATTCTTCTGTTTTTAACTTGAAGTATAATTAAACTTTCCTTAAACATTAAGACGTGGATTGTAAACATCTTAAAAAGGAGAAAAAAAACTACTCTATTAAGCTGTAATTAATCAGTGATAATTACTTTAAAGACCTAAATACGTACAGAATTTAAATTTGTTTAATCTAAGTTTTTCCTGCTTTCTCGGTAATGATGCAAGAGCGCAAGAGCAAAAACGTTTTTTTAAGCAAATGTTTAAAAGCACAGAATACATGGAAGAAAAATCGCTTTTTAAATGAGTACTTAATTAAGGCATTTAGAAAGTATTATCAATTATTCAAACTGTTAGGTAAACACGAGAAAAACTGATGTTTTCGATGTCATCTGCATTCGACCACGGCTTAGAAAAAAATTAAATTTTTACTCTTGAACGAACAAGATGTTGTGTTCCGGGAATAGAACGATGAATGAAAATAATTTGCTCCTAATCCTCGTTAAACCGGAATCATTTCTTTATTTTCCATACCAAAATGCTCTGAGAAATATTTCAAAACTGCTTGTTTATTTTTAATTAAATTTAATCCATTACTGAAAATAATGGATTTTTAATCTTGGGATTTTTTTTATTTCATGTTTGTAAGCTATTTTCACTTAAAAGACTTGTGTTTATAGTTGGAATAGAAATGAACTCATTACACGTTTCTATATTCATTTTGTTAAAAAACAGAAACTAATTTTAGAAAAGCTCGACAATTTAATTCCCTAAATTTAAAGGCTTTCAAATAAACAGGCGTTCAAAACAAGGTTATTCTCGAGTTTGGTTGAATATTTTAGGACGCTGAGCAATTAAAATAGATACGTACATTGGTTGCTGTAACGCAAAATAAAGGATGATTTTTTTTTACACTGACACAATTCAGAACCACCTGAAGCTCGATCTTGCAACCGCAATGGCAACAAACTTAGTATAGAAACGGGTTGGGAACTAAGTCGATCACGATCGACCCTTCTAAAGATTAACCGTTAGTAATTATATACCGAGATATTCAAGAATGGCTGACAATATGAAGACTATTAGTTATTACTACAAGAACTAACTTTAGATGAACATATTTTATTTTTTAATGCATTTTCAAATGTTTGATAGCAAATGTATTATTTGATACTATTATATTTGTGGCTATTATTATTATGTTCATATACTTTGCGCTTTGCTTTAAACGTGGTCTTAAAGGTGTAAGTTTTTTTTTGTTGGAGATATGTTCGATATATTTATTATTAAGTTATAATAAATATCGTATAACATTTTCGCAACACCTTGAAAAAGTTAAAAGTAGCCTGTACCCCTGAAAAGTTTGCCCGACCCTAGTATAGAGATTAATTATAATATGTGAAGTAAGATTCCGAGGGAAAACTTGGTTCCAAACATTGCTAATAGGGGTATGTATGGTATTGTTACAAACCGAGAATCTTAATGAAACAAGGGAATGAAAGTAAAATTCCATTTTATGCTTCTTTACACAACCGCACCAGTAATTTGCGCATGATAAAAATGTACCGGTTGATTCATAAATGGAGTGACCAATTTCAGAGGATCTTAAATTTTTATTGATTAAAGTTATTTGCATGGAATTTTTAATGTGATTTCTTCTAGTACAGTACACTTTTCGTAAGCGTTTCGTCTAAGCTAAAAGAGTTTTTTTTTTCGATAATTTTTGTGGTATTTTTCCAACATCCTCTTAAATTGCTTTTTGAAGCCCTTGAAATGTTCTTACCTTACGTCTATTTAATTGTTCTTTTAAGTATCCCCATAAAAAATAATCGCAAGGAACACAAACAGGGGATAGTGATAATCATTTATCAAGAAGCACAAAATTTATTTTTAATCTTTCAGCCATTTTATAGGTAATTTTACAGTGAAAAATCTTGGTGAAAAACAAAGCTTCCTTGAGGGTAAACATGCTTACTTTTTTTGATCAAGTGTTCAAAACTTTATTCTGATAGCGTTTAGCATAAACTTTAAAATTCGGTTCTGCAAAAAATGATTTTTTAAGCCTTGAGAGTACATTTCCATCCATCCCATAACACCTGACAGCCAACTTGCATTTTTCTAAACAGCTGCGTCTTGCGACGTTGTTTTTGCTTGAAATATATTGAATCTTCGTTTTGCCAGGTATGAATGACAGATGAAACAGTGCTTCATCAGAATTTATCCATGTTTTGTATCTACCTTTGCGTAACACTAAATACAAAGATCAAGAACGTTTTCTTCATTTTTCTATGGTGCTAACAGGCATTTGATGACAGACTGAAAAATTTACTTTTTTATCGCCAATTTTCTTTATCTGACGATAAATTGTCGATTGCTATATCTATAGTGTTTTTTGGCATAGGTTTTTGAAGAGAAGGATTTTCTACAGCGATAATTCTTTTCAACTTCTTTTTTTTCTTTTACATTAAGGACATCCTTTCGTTCCTATTTTTTCCCTGGAGCATTTGATTGTGAGCCAATTTTATTTCTTTTTGAAGCTTAGGTAGTAATACAATAGAAAAATGTCTTTTCTGATTTTTAAATGCTTTATTATTTACAGAATGGAACAACAGTCCTCCAAAAGCTGTAAAATTTCGTTCCGGGTTTGAAGATCTAATTTCAGTACTATAGTTATCTCCCACTAATAAAAATGGTTAGATTAGTAATTTAAATGTTCCTTATTAAAATAAAACCAGTAGAAAAACGATAGAAACTTATCATAAATAGTTATCTGCTTTTAAAATTGGTCCCACTATTTTTGAATCAACCGGTATACAGCTCTGAAATATAGTATCATCAGCTGAAGTTTACCGTATCCCATGAATATGATGCTCACATTACGTGACAGCGCATTATTGGTACTAAGCCGCAAATATTCCGCAAAAATTCCACAGTCCCTCGCGAGACAGAAGCCACTAAAGGAGGCTTCCTCACTTAATGATTTGAAAGGAATGATTAAATGGTTTGAAGAAAAAAATTCAGTGATTTTATTTCATAGGTATAAATAGTTAGCAGTCCTATTTTTTGTACCCCAAGTATCCCTCTGCGTATCCCCTGGAGCACGCATACGCTACATTGGGGACCACAGCTTTAAGACCGTCTTCGCGGAATTTCAAACAGTAGAACTCGAATTTGGAATATATAGTATAAAATTTTCCAAATTTATTATTATTTTTTGGCTTTCCTATCTTATAAAAAACATTTATTTTATCCTACAACTCATTTTGATCTGAGTGGATCCATTTTTCCTGATATAAAATGTGTTTCGCAATTTTTTCCCAATACCTTAATGTTAAATAAGATATTCCTTTACATTTTAGAATGAAAAAGGAATTATTTATTAAGTATTTTATGATTTTTAAAGCGATGCATAATAAATACGCACTCCATTATAATGTTGTAGATTTTCATGAAAATTGGGTCATTTTTCTGTGTAAAAATGGGCTTCGCTTTCAGTCTAGGTCTCGTATACGTTTGACGAAGACGGCTCTAAAGGAATTACTGCAATTTTACTTAAGAAAAAGCACTGAATTTGATATTTTCGCCGAAAAAAATCTTCTTCCTAGGGTCATAATGCTGGAGTGGTACTTGAAAACAATGTTATTTTTCATCGACTTGAGTTCTTGAATATAGTTAAGCGGATATAAAACTTTTACATTCTCTTCAAGGACACCTATATAGGGCACGGAAAAATTTCGCTATTCCTTCTCCAGCGTACAACATTGGAAATATAAGCTTGTACCTTTTTTTTTTTTTTTTTTTTTATAATTCCATCGGTATAAAATTAAAATATTGCGTAAGATAGCCCATGTTATATTTTAACTGTATTTTCATTTCATTATATTTAGTTTCACAGTGTTTTACTAAATATTGTTCTATAAGTTCAAATACATTTTTTTAAACTTGTGGATGACACTTGACGCTAATGCAGTTTTTAAAAATATTAATTAATTAATTAAATTTAAAAGATGAACAAATAGTAACAAAAATAAAAGTAGAGCAGCATATATAGAAAGGAAAACCGTTCTTAGTGTCCCTGAAGCGCAACGGATGCCGCGCTGAATTTCTAATCGAAAAATGGTGGGTTCGAATCCCACCTGGGATGGCCTAACGTCTGAGAATGTAATTTCTTTTTTTTTTACTGTACTATTTTACTAGAATAATTAAATTCAATGAATGGATAAATAGTAACAAAAAAATAAAAAAGTAGTCCAACACACACACACCCTACAGTGGTGGCAAAAAGTCCTGAACACACTCATTTTTTAGCGTAATTTTTATGTTTGACTTCATTTTTCGTTGTGAAATTATCGCACTATCTTAAATATTGTTATTGATTTTAATGTATTTTTTTATGCTGGTTTCAAATCTACTACTATTTTCTTAATCACTAAAATATTGTTTGCAGTAAAGCTGCCTGAACACAATAATGTGAAATATGTGTAGAAAAAACCAATATAGAATAACATAATATTCAAAGAAAAATAACACGAAAATTGACAAATACGGTATATTTAATATATATATATATATATATATATATATATATAAGCATTTTGAAAATTACATTGTTGTCACATGTCAGAAAATCAATATTTTATGGGCCAGTCGTTTGCTTTAATTACGGCTCTACATATTTTGGCATGGAATGCACCAATTTCAAATGAAGATCTTTCGTGACAATATGGTCGAAGGAAAATATTAAAGCTTCAATTAATTCACGTTTGTTTGAAGGTTTTTTCTTTGAAATTTCATAACCAATTTTAAAACATAAGATCTCTATCGGATTAAGGTCGGGAGACTGTCCTGGCCAGTTCATTCTATTCACAGTATGTTCTTCCAATCATTTCTGGACTACATTTGCACGATGGCAAGGGGCGTTATCGTCCTGAAAAATCCATGACTGATTCCCCAAAAGGTCTCTTGCAGTTAGTAGCTATTTATTTTGTAGTATTTCAATGTAATCCATGGCTTTCACTGTTCCGCTAACGATGTGAAGTCTTCCAACACCATGAGAAGATATGCAACCCCATACCGTCACTTTTGTCGGGTACTTTACTGTGGGCTTCTGACATTAAGGGCTGAATTCCTCATGAGTGCGTCGTCTTATATAGGCACTACTTTGATTGCCAGAAATACAAAACTGAATCTCTTCATTAAATATTACCTTTTCCCAGTCTTTAATAGTCCATAATTAATGTTTCCTTGCCCTCGTCAATCGCCTCTTGCGTTGAAATTCAGTCAGTAATGGTTTTGGGCGCGCTTTACAGCCACGTAACCCAATTTCCAGCAGTCTTCCTCTAACAGTTCTTGGGCACACACTCACATTTGATGTCAAAGTCCATTGTTTCAAAATTTGTGAGGAATTAAGCTTTCTGTTTGAAAGAAATAACTGTCTTCACGTAAAGATGTTTTTCTTGGTCGTCCTGATCTACCCCTGTCCGCAATAAAATTTGTTTCAGAAAATCTTTTCAAAGTTCTCACAACAGTAGAAAGGCCACATGGTACTTTAGCAGCAATTTGGCGCATAGAATAACCTTCTTCCTTCAAATGTATTATTTTGTATCTTTTATTCTCAGGCAGATATGAAAATTTAGCCATAATTGCAATATTTTCCTCAAACGCACTTCAATACACTATTTTCCACAAGAACACAACTGCATTCAATACAATAAACCACGTTTCACTTTTTTTCTTTCAACCCTTTATCGCTACTGCTCTCTGATTGGTTGAAATAATGGAGCATTTCATTGGTGGAAAACACACTCACTAATTCTTACAGTGACCTTATGCTTTCTTGGCAAGATTTTTTTAACATATCAATGAAACTATTTACTTTAGATGAAATCTACAAACAGATTTGAAATCAGCATAGAAAAACACATTAAAATCAATAACAATATTCAAAATAGTGCGATAATTTTCATAACGAAAAATGAAGTCAAACACAAAAATTATGCAAAAAAATGAGTGTGTTCAGGACTTTTTGCCACCACTGTATATAGAAATGAAAATGGAAAATGGCAAGGAAAATCGCTTTCTACTTTGTAACTTAATAGTGTGATTCTGCCGTATGTAAATACATATTTATATTAATTGTAACTATTTAATAAAAAGCAACTGAAATAAAAAAATTTCTGTGTTAACCTAAGTAGGAACCGGCTTAAAATTGTTTTTTATATAACTTTTTTTTTTGTTTAAAAAATACAAACAAATCGTCGTAACACAAGGTAAAAGTAAAATGGTTGTTTCCCGAAACTTATCAAATTTTGTTTTGGCGAAGATTTATTTTTTTAAATTTAATATTCTTAATTTTTTTTGGAATTTTATTTTTAAATATATTTTTCATTAACTTACCAAGCTTGGAATCAAACAATATAATAGTTATTTTATCTTTTAAAATTCTTACCACACTTGTATAATATAGATCAGTAATTCTCGACCAATGTGCTTCAGCACTTTTGTGTGTCGTCACATTTTTTTTTAATTATTGTTTATACTCTGAGAAAAATTTAAAAACCCGGAATCGAATCATTTGGCTATTCTATAGAAATAAACTATTCATAAAACTGTTATTGACCATTTGAGAGCAAGAGCAGAAAGTTATTCATTACTTCTCAAATTTAGATAAAAAAAAATTTGATTGGGTTTGCAATCCATTTGTGATAACGGATAAATGTGTATATGAATTAGCTTTCAATGAAAGGTAAAACTAATTTTTTTTCTCTTTAATTTTAAAATGAAGAGTAAATTAATTCACTTTGGATTAAAATTAGAAGCAACTATCTCATAATAGCCAAAAAAGCTTTAAAATATGTGTACATCTTATTTGTGTGAATTTAGATTTTCGGTATCAAAAAAAAAAAAAAATTAAAAAAAAAAAAGGATTGAAACTTTTAAATATAAATGACAAAAGAAGAGTGGTATTATCATTTTTACGACCTAATATAAACAAAATCATCAAAAATCAAATTTCGCATTAAATGTATTCTTACAATTATTTGTAATTATTTATTGACTTTGTCGTTTAAAATATTTTAATTAACATTGAAAATTATTGTCATAAACTATATTATATAATGTATCACAGATAAGTACAATTCTTGTAAGCTTATTTTATTGTTTATGGCCGCCAAATTCTGAAATTGTTAAAAGAGTACCGGGACGTAAAAAAAGGTTGAGAATCGTTGATAATAAAAGAAAACTACCCTTGGCAACTAAGTAATTGCGGATTTTTTTAGAAAATCAAAGAAAATTTTTTCATGGAACTAAATAACTTTATTGTGTAATATATTGCCCATTTTTATCAATGACCTTTTGCCCTCTTTCAGGCAGCATCATAATCCCACGTTCATAAAACTTCTGGTTTTTATTAACAAAAAACTGAATCAGGTACGATTTGACATCATCATCATTATTGTAATTTTTACCATTCAAGGAGTTTTGTAAAGATCGAAACAAAAAGTAATCAGATGGTGCAAGGTCAGAACCATATGGTGGATGTGGCAAAACATCCCAGCCAAGCTCCAATAATTTTTGCCGAGTGACTCAAGATGTGTGTGACCTTGCATTGTCATGATGGAATACGACACCTTTTCAATTTGTCATTTCGGGCCGCTTTTCTTCAACTGCATTGTTTAATTTCGTTAGTTGTTCAATGTAGACATCAGAATTGATCGTTCGGTTGGGTGGTAAGAGTTCAAAGTAGACAATTCCTTTGTAATCCCACCAAACTGATAACAAAACCTTCTTTTGATGAATATCAGCTTTTGATGTTGTTTGAGTTGGTTCACCTGGCCTACTCCACGATCTTTTCCGCTTGATATTGTTGTAAACAACCCATTTTTCATCGCCAGTTATCAGTCGTTTTAAAAATGGATCATTTTCATTACGTTTCTTTAGCAAATCGCAGCTGTTCATGCGTTGCGTTAAATGCGTTTCTTTCAGTTCGTGAGGAACCCATGTATCCAGCTTTTAAACATAGCCAAGTTGTTTTAAGTGATTTTCAATGCATGTATGTGATACATGAAATTTCTTTGCAATCTCACGTGTTGTACTGTGACGATCCGAATCGATTATTGCTTTGATTAGGTCGTCATCAACTTCAACTGGACGACCAGAGCGTTTTTCATCTTTGAGTGAAAAATCACCAGAACGAAATTTGGCAAACCAATTTTGACACTGCCGTTCTTTTAAGGCTTCGTCACCATAAACAGCACATAACTTTTTATGAGCTTGCGATGCGTTTTTCCCTTTGCGGAAATAAAAAAGCAAAATATGACGAAAATGTTCCTTTTGATTTTCCATTTTTCAACGAACGCCAAACGAAAACTACGCAACCGATCAAAAAACTTTTTTTACTCATTGACAGCTGAATTGCCAAATATCAAATAACAAAATGTGTTTTAGGTTTGTACTGCGTCTGCAAACCTAAAAATTCAACTGAAGCCATAAATGAGTGAAATCCACAATTGCTTAGTTGCCAACCCAATATTATTGTTCCTGCATTATGAATAGTATAAAGCTTACTTATGTTTTAACATTTCATGTGCTCCATCGCTTTGTGTTCAATTAAGCCTACACAATTTAGAACAGCTTTCAATTATTTGAGACATGTTTTTTTCCGGATAGAGAAAAGAAATGAAGACTACGCTTTCACAATATGGTGGAATGAAGATTTTTGTTTTAGTTTTTAAGATTAAAAGTATTATATTATCTTTTGTAGAAGCGTCCAAATGCTTGTTTTGAGATAAAATGTAAAGGAAAATTTTCGATGCATGTTTTAACAAAACAAAATATCTCTTTTCAGTGCCCTTATAACGAATTATAAAAGAACAATGGATTACCTTAACGTATATTCCCATCAGAAATTATCAGACTTATAAGAAAAGATGTCCATTTCCAAAAACTATCCTAAGATGTTCATGGGGAAAAAATTAAATAATTCCACACAAAACATTGAAAACTTTTGTTAAATTTGTACCAATTTCCGAAATAAGAAAAACAATTTAAACGCATTATATTCAAAGGATTTTATACGAAATCGTAGCCATTTCTGTTGAACTATTTCTTATGTTTATCGCAGTTTAAAGAATTCGAGGAATT